AGTTTCACATGTATAAAAAACGAAGTCTGACAAGGCGGCGTGTGGCCGCGCGGACAGTCAAATCTGTGAGTGGGACGCTGCCGTGTCCCCACAGCGACGGGTCGAGCGCTGTGTCTGCCCACGGCCGGACGATGTAGAGGGCCCATGGCGGGGGCCGGCCCCCCGGCGGCGGCGCCGGGCTCCACGGCCGGAGCGGCGGGTGGTCGCCAGCGTCTGCCGGCCCCCGCGCACCCCTAGGCGGGGCACCATCGACAACACAGCATGCTGTCCACACTGTCGGCCTCGGAGGCTGGCCGGCGGATGTGGAGGGCTGCTGCAGCCTACCATCAGCGTCCACGGTGTACACGCGCTCGCCGCCTGGCCCCTGGTGCCGTATCCACCGGCCATCCGCGCTCGCTTGCCACGCCGCCCCCGGCATCGCGCTCCGGAGCGCTGTCGACCACTCAGCGGCCACGGCGGGCTCGAGTACAGGCTAGGGGCTCGTCGGATGACGCGGACTGCAGCGGCGGCGGCGGCTGGTGAGAGCGGCGGGGGCGGCAGCGCTGGGGGTTGTGGTGGCGGCGGGGCGCTTGGCGCGCGTCAGTGAATGCGGCCTCTTGTTGACGCGCGGTGGTGGCGTGCAGGAAGTGTGGGGTGTGTGGTGCTTTTCTCTCCTCGTCTGGACCTTTAGCGGCCGGAGTGCGCTCGCTCAGCGGACCGTCTTGGGGCCTGGGCCCTGCCGTGCGGGCATTGGAGTGCATGTGTTTCAAGACCTTGCCTCTAGCAGAGGGGCAACGGGGCCCTTGTGTGAAGCCGACCATGTTCAATTGGCCAGGTGTTTCTGCTTGGTTGGGTGGTGCGCGCCCCTGAGCCGCGGTCGCTGTGGCCGTGTGCGTTCAGCGGGTTGGCGCGCCCCATGCCCTCCTTTGATCGCTCGTGTGCTGTGCTTGGGTCCCCGCTTTTGCGCGCGGTGCCGGGCTCCCCCCCTCTGCCCCGAACGACTTTGAGGCTGGGGGAAGGGTTGCGGCGTTGTGGCTTGGAACATGGCGGTTTCTCGGGGTTTCCCGCGGCCGCAGCCCTGCCTGGCACCTGTGTGTCTGCCGGATCTTTGCTCTTTGGGTGAGTGGCCACAAGCTCTACGTCTGATCTTCTGTAACAAACGCAAAGCAAAGCATCCTGCCAGCCGAGGCACAACAGGCGGCCCACCGCATGCCCCCCACCGTCTTGCCCTCTAGTGGACCATGTCTATCTGTTAATGACTGCATTTCTTGTGGTTTGCATGTTGCTCGGCACAGGGGCAGGGTTACCATCACTCCCCAGCAAGCGAGCAAACAGCTGAGCTCCAGTACAACCATATGCAGATGCCAGATGGCGACTGCGCGGTCCGCCTCCCAGTGGCACAGCTGCAATGTGTAGTGGGTGATGAACCACACCGAGCTGTCTGACCCAGATTTTTGATATTGCGCTGCAGCGGCCGCTGGTCAGGTGACTGTCGCTGGTGACGACAAGATAGATGGTTTCGATAATCGCGAATAAGTGAATGGATACTTTGGAATTGAATTCACATTATAATTATGAATTAACGTGCCTTGCAGCGCGCAGCAAAAATGCAGGCGGTGAAGAGCTTTGACGTTGTGGTTCTCGGCGCGAGCGGCTTCACCGGCCGCCTCGTGTGCGAGCACATAGCACGCGATTATCAGGTGGGTGACGGCCGCGATCAGCAGGGGGACACAGCAGCAGCAAATGAAGTCGCTGCACACCCGCCTGTTGCACCGCCACCCTGACGCGCGCCTCCCGCCACCCGTTTCCTTTGGACAGGGCAAGGTGCGATGGGCAATGGCAGGGCGTGACCGCGCCAAGTTGGAGGAAATCAAGCGCAACCTGACTGAGATCAACCCCGGAGTGCAGGTGAGCAGCGCTCGATCGACATAGAGGTGGGCGGGCGGGTATGTGGGGGCTGCGCCACTCATGCAGCACGGGGCACACGAATCAGCTGCGCAGCAGATGGAGCCTCAATGCCATCCTGCGGCGGGAGCCTGCTGCCATCCAATGTACTTGAAGGGTGCGCCTTGTGCGGTCACTGTGACGCGTTTGCCGGCCGGGCTCACCGCCGCAGGCGGTGCCCGTGATTGTTGCGGACGCCTTCGATTACCCCTCCCTGGCGAGCCTGGCGCAGTCGTCTAAAGTCGTCATCAACGTCGCGGGCCCCTGTAGGTGGCGCGAAACGCCTTGCGCAGATTAAGTCGGTTGCGGTGGTGCTTGCGGGCCCTACGGCGGGGCTAGGGCAGCTGACGGCCAGAGCAGATGGTGCAGTCGCCAACCAGCAGGCTGCCCCGTCATCGTCACAGCGCGTGCCTCGCGCACATGCAGCACTGAGACACGCATGCCCGCGCGGGTGCCACAGCCAGCACCACCACATTGTAACCTGCAGATGCCAAGTACGGCGACAAGGTTGTGGAGGCGGCCGTCAACGAGGGCGCGCACTACTGTGACCTCACAGGTGGGGGCACCTCAGCACATGCAGGCACTTGGGCCGAGGTCGGGGCAGCCTGTCGGCTGCGCTCCTGTGCCGTGATTCTTCAAGTGTTTGCTGGATGTGAGCTGCGCTGCTTGGGCCGCGCCGCGTTGAGAGGCCCCCGATTCTGCTCGCCGGATCGTGCCCGACCCGCCCAGGCGAGGTCAACTGGGTCAACCGCATGATCAGCAGGCACCACGAGACTGCAAAGCAAAAGGGCGTCAAGGTGTGGAGTTGAACGCATGGGTGCAGGCATGTGCACGTGTGCTCATGTGCATATCTGCATGCATCTGTGCAGGACGCAATCGTTTGCAAGCATGCACAGTCGCAGCATGGCGGCAAGCTCGCGCTATTCTGGCGGCCTCGCAACCCCCTGGCCGGGTGAGTCTACGCAACATTGCCTCAAATCTCTCACCTGCGCTGGCGTGTGCAGGTGGTGCACTGCTGTGGCTACGACAGCGTACCCTTTGACATTGGGGTGCTGGTTGTAGCCGATCACATTCGGAAGAAGTTGGGCAAGTGAGTCATGCACCTTGCCTCCCCTAATCCATTGGGACTTCGTCACAAGCACCTGCTCCTTGTCACCTGCACGGTCTCTTGCCTCTGTTGCGTGGCATGGTGATCCGTCGATTGCGCCTAGCTGGCACCCTCGTTTGCGCCGCCACCTTGCATCACGTGAACTCTCTCGCTGCCCCTGCCGCCCCGCGCGCAACCCAGGGGCACCTCTCAGGTGTTTGGCTTGATGGAGGACGCCCGCGGCGGTGTGTCTGGCGGCACCATCGCCAGTGCAATGAATGTGAGCCAGTGCACACCGGCCAAAATCAGGCACCGCGGCTGTTGTGTGCCCGGACTGACTTGTGCGCGGGCAAGACCGACTGTGCTGGGCGCATTCCCTCCTGCACCCTGGTGCTCTGGGTTGCCTCGCCTTCACCGCGATACGGCCGGCAGCTTTTCATCGTGCCGTGTCTCTCCACAGCACACCTGACGTCGCATGCGCTCCCTGCATTCCATCACCTGGGATCGTCCTTACTTACAGATGGCCGTGGCTGAGGACCCAAGTGACGTGAAGAAAGCCATGGGTGATAAGTATTACCTCTGCCCCCCTGGAGAGCGGTGAGGAGGGTGGTGCTCATTGAGCTGGTCAAGATTAGAGTGACCGATGGGACGGCAACAGCAGGGGGGCCGGAGCAGAGCTGCAGCAATATCCTCATTTTACAGTGCAAGAGCCCTTTCCCTGCTGCACGTTTGCCGCCTCACCTGGCCGCTGTTGCTGTTTACTAATGCAGTGGGAGCGACAGCGCCAGCATGCGCGCTTTGCTGCCGGAGTGGAACCGATACAGCGGCGCCTGGATGGCGCCATTCGTGATGGAGGTGGGGCCCTGGGCTTGGGCCCTGCATGCAATTCCAATGTGCTGTCGTGCACGCATGTGTGGCGCAGGCCTGCCACCTTGCAATGCCTTGACCGCCTGCTCGCGCGTGCTGAGTGCGGTCAATTGCAGCAATCCCACCCCGCTGACCCACATCACATATCATGGACCTGGACAGGCTGTCAACAGCCGCGTGGTGCACAGGAGCAACGCGCTGACCAAGGGGCACTATGGCAGCGACTTCAAGTGTGAGCAGAGGGAAAGGGACACCAGGGATTTCAAACGCATGGGTTGAAAGAAAGACTTGGGCCCGGGTGTGGCAGATCTGGGGTGTGTTACACAGAGGGGTGTCGGGCGTGGGTAAAACGGGCCGAGGCACCGAATCAAGTGCTTTTGGCGGGGCAGCAAGCTTGAGGGGCTCTTGTGGGCCGGGTAACTTGCATGTGCGGGGATGGGTGCTACCCATGGAGCCAGGTGCAGTCGTTGTCCTGTACGAGGCTGCTGCTGTGGCACGCGCCCTGGAGGCCGCACGGCTGTGCGTGTGATCTCTCATCCCAGCTGCCGCTCCACGCCCCTCGTCCCCTTCCCTACTCCTCCCCCCCTCAACAACCCTGCAATGCTGCCTCGCTCGTCAGATCGGGAGGCGGTGTCCACCAAGTCCCTCGTGGGTGCCAGCCTGATCTCTGTATTCATGGTGGTCGCCGGCGCCGTCCTCAATTTTGGGCCCCTGCGGGCGTTCGCCATGAGGTGCGCTGCCTGCAGGCCCCATCAGGGCTGCAGCACCAGTTGCACAAGAGGTGCAGGATGGGTGTGCGCTTTCGTGAGCACTGACGTACTCAGCAAGGGTCGTCTGCGCTTTGCTGGGACCTGGGAAGAACATTATTTTGGTTGCTTCTAACCCCCCCTTCAAAACAGGTACCTGCCAAAGCCAGGCGAGGGCCCCAGCAGGTGCGGCCTACAGAACTGCCAGTGCTGCGTCACCCTTGTCCACAACATCACAGCATGCGGCTCATTTGCGTGTCTGCTGCAGCTGCATTTCTGACGGCCTGACTAGTGGACTCACTCAACTGACAGCGGGACGCCTGCTGTGAAAGGGCCCAACCCAACCCACTGTCAAGCCACTGTCCCCTCCAACATTCGCCGCAGGGAGACTATGTTCAACGGCTACTGGAAGCACGCCGCCATCGGGCTCACTGAGGAGGAGCCTGGGACAGAGCCGCAGGTGGGGCTGGGGGCTGAAGGAGACGGGGTGGCAAAAGGGGATGCTGGCAACAGCCCGATGGCCTGGTCATTGTTCCACGGAGGCACTAACCATGCGCCGATTGGGGCACGTGCCAATCAGCACTCCCTGCAGGCGCTTTCTTTTTCCTGGCTGCTTGCGTGCTGCATGCTGTGCTCAAGCTCGTCTTCGCCGCGCCCTGCCCCCTCAGGTGGTGGTGGCCAAGTGCAGCGACCCGCACCGCGACGGCGGCTACTGGTCCACCGCGCGCATGCTGCTGGAGTCGGGCCTCTGCCTTGCGCTGGATTCCGACAAGCTCAAGGAGGTCGGCTGGGGCTGGGGGCCGGGACGCGTCCTTGTTAGAGCCGCAACCTTGGTCCTGTTGCCCAGGGTTGAGGGCAGACTGTGGTTGCTGAGTGCTTTTGCCAAACAGGACGTGGTTGTACCCTGAGCCGCCGGGGGACGCGCGGGCCACGCACTGAGTGACCTGGTGTGCAAGACCGGGCCTTGCTCAAGTGCCCGGTGCGTGTCCTGCCGAGCGGTGCAGGCGTTGTTGGCCGCCACTCGCGATCGTGGCCACGGGTTGTGGCGGCCTATTCTGCTCTGTTGGTGGCATGCACACACGCCAAAGCACCACGCGTGCTTTCGTGTCAAAGAAACACACGCAAAGCTGAAGCTCCCTGCATGACCCGCCTTGCACTGACGGCCGCAGGCGGGGCAGCTGCAGGGTGGCGTCCTGACCCCCGCGACGGCGATGGGCTTGGTGCTGGCGGGCCGGCTGCGGGAGGCGGGCATCACGTTTGACGTGGTCCAGTCGCCCGCTCTGAAGCAGGCCGCTGAGTAGGCGATAGTGCTGACGCAGACCTGGTTGTTTGGAGGTGGGTTTGCTGAAAGTGGGGGCTGCTGCTGTGACTGGGATGAAGTTTTGTTGCTACTTGTCGGCCTACTTACTAGTTCAGCTTGCAGCCTGGCCTGCGAAAGGAGCCAAGCTACTGTTGCAGCGCCTTTTGGTGTCATTTGTTCGCATTGAATTATGTATTATGTTCACGGAATCTGGTACAATACCGTGCTCATTGTGAGTGAGTGGCGAGACCAGCCTGACATGCAAGTGAGTAATTTTTCTGGTCACCATGAGTCGCCCTGGCAGCAGCAGACCAGATTACTCAATGCACAATGTCGGGCTCATACCTGCGGCTCAGTTGCCCACGCAAAGAGCTTGGCCACTTTGTGACAAATGGTGCGGGGGTCATGCGGCGCCCCATGACGTGTGCGTGGCGCACGACACCTGTGGGCCACGTTTCGGCATACCGGTATGGTACACCAGCACGGAAATGTTCACCCATGTGACGACTGAGGCGACAGTTGTCAAATAAACTTGGCTTGAGCACACTGTCATTCACCGTGCTACCGGTTGCTGATCCATGATCAGATCGATCTCGACGATCTGGCTTGTCGCCCGCGGGTCATGATCACGCTTTCCAATGTCGTGACGCTGTACCTCGACCTATTAGTGAATTGATAACGCCCTGCAGGAGGTCCTGTTCGCAGACCCGGGCGCGCGCGCTTTTACGGGGCCCAACATGGATGGCATCTCGCTCCTAGCAGCCCTACAGCGCGGCTTTGGCCACCCTGAGCAGCATCCAGCGTCGGCGGGCACAGGGCCGCCGCCCGGGTTTGGCGCCATGGTGGGGCCGGCGGCAGGTGGCGG